CAGCAAGATATAACCATGTACAAAGCGGAGAGAGAGAACATACTCGCAAAGGATAACCTCAATGAAGCAAATGTCGCAGGACAGACTTGTTACTGTGGATCACTGTGCGGGGCCATGAAAGAGATGGTGGAATTGAAGAAGAAACTTCACGTCACAGAGCAAAAGTATAGTAATCTAAAGCGAGCGTTTAAAACTTTAGAACGGAGCAAGGTAAGGGTCGGAGTAGCGCATCGAGACAGCCCATGTACAATAAGCTGACTGTAGAACGCGTCGAGAAAATATGGAAAATATATGACTTAACGCAGTGTTGAAAAAACACGTTGAATGTTTGACATTTACTCCTCGGTAAATTTCGCAACAAAAGTCACAGAGTCAGAGAAGTTTCTCTTTGTCAATCATTCAAAGCCTGAAATTTGGGCTGGAAAGGTCAAACTTGAGTAATTGATTTTGCCCGGAAGGCCTCCTCGCGTCGTTTATGACCGCCCAGCGATTCATCCTGGTGACATTGGCGGGAAAAGACTGTCATGAATGAACAGTCCGGAGGAGGTCTTTTATCGCCACCTGTCGGGATAAGCGGTTAGTTCTTCTACCAGCAATAAACTAAGTAACTATAAATAAAAATCATCACCTTATCATACAAATTTAACCTCTGAGCTATGTTTTGGTTCTTCTACATATGTAGTTAAAACTTTTTAGCGATGACATTTTCAACAATCGTTACGAAAGTTTCCGACAGCTCTCCTTGTTCCAGAGCTTTGCTCTTTGTCACATAAACCTGTCAAACTGACAATTTTCAAGCTTTCTTCGTTCTGCGACAATTCTCCGGGAAGGTCACTGCTTATAACCAAAATGGTTTCCGCAATCTTCGCTGCAATATTGATTTACAAAGAAAGCTTGCCGAAAATGTCTGATTACAGATAACAGGAACAAAATTTTATGAAATAAAACTTGAAATGTGATAATTGTTCAAATGAATGGAAGTGTACTTTAGAGGTGATAACTATTAAAACAAAGAGAAAAAGAAGACTCTTATAAATAATCTGCGGTAAAAATAGGATAACTCCATGCACCATATTTGTAGACAAAAAAGAAGTATATACGAGCAAGCTTGTAGACTGCAATCAGTATCCCAACTGAGGAGTAGATTTAGGCGAGCAATATTTGTAAATAAAAATGAGAAAGTCTGTACCTGTAAGTAAAGAACAAATATTTAATCACGGAGGTAAATAAAAGAGTTAAGTGCAGCTTTTTTTTTTTTCGTATTTATTTTATTTGCTTTATAAGTGACAGGGTTCTATTTATACGTAAGCAAACAACAATAAATGAAGGCTACCTAACAGATTATGAATAAGACTACATTCATTTACCACTGTGACTCCTGCGGTGACTGTATGGTTTGGTGCATTCTGGTCTAAGTCATCTTACATGATTCAGTGCTATAAGTGAGGTGCATGTAATTCTAATTCTCGAGTCTGTGGACGAAATCCTGTGTTAGACGTGATACCGAGCGACGACTCAAGAAGAAGAAATATACTAAGCCGTACCTCCTGCGGCAGGCTTTATTATCTTGTACAAGCAGGATGGTTCTAACTTTAGCCTGGGTGCAGAACAAAGGAAATAGGGCGTAAATAGTGGACTTCTGCACGCAAGCCATTTTTACTTTTTTTTGAGTCTTTTAGTTTGACCTTTGTAATGGCAGCAACAGTACGGATGGCTTCTTTTTGGTGTTTGTTTATTCTCGCAAGGTTGATCAAGCTTTTGAGTCTGTGTGTGAAATCCTAAAGTTTAATTTACTGTAACCATTGAAGCAAAATTCCTCAGTGGTACTGTTGCATAGTACTGTTTTAGTTGTTTGATTGTTTGTTCTCAATAGTGTTTATCAGGAATTTTGCGAAATACAAGTTACAATTTTTCTTGAATGGGGATTTGGTGACTATTATGACTATTAGTAACTTTCGAAGGGTTTCGAAGGAGATTCTTACACATTTCTATTGTAATAAGGTAATTTCAACGGTGATGATGAGGTCATGTGAAGTCGTCCCTTTTCAAGAGATTTAGCTCCGTGGAATTCCATATGAAATTTGATTTTTCATATAAGAGTAAGAACCTTTTGAGCGTTTTTACGTGAGAGCGGTTACTACAAAAAACAAACAAACAAAAACACGGCGAGGCAACGAGAAATTTAGGGCGCTTTCCCTTTGTCAGAACTGATCGGCCAGACCATTCTCGTCGCAATGATAATTTCCCTTTTAATCAAAACTCTCCAGCCAGACCAGTCAAATCCTGAATAGCATGCACCGAGGAGACGGTTTTTCAGCAAAAACTCTTGGAAAAAGCCAATTTCATTATCAAACTGACTGGTCGGGCAATGGTCAGGCCAGCCAGTTCTGACAAATGCTTTTTTATCACGGTTATTCCAACTCGTTCAATTTGTTACAGTGCGACTACTCGAACCGGGCACTTGGAAGAAGATCATCCAGTCACACGTTTTATGAAAACAAAAGATTCTCAAGTTTTTTTTTGCAAACGGACCAATTCAAAGTAGACAGATGCAAATTATAGTAGTTGCTAAAAAATATATCTACGTGTGCAATTCCACAATTGGTTCATTCATGAATTTGAGGGCTGTTTCCTGAGAGGTCAGGTAAGTTCAAACGGTTTTAAAGTTTTCAACCCTGTTTTCAACAGTTGCATAGTTGAACCTTGAATTTTATTGGTCAGTTTGGAAAAAAAAATTGAGAATCTTTTGTTTTCAAAAAGCTTTGTAAATGGATAATCTTCTTCCAAGTGCCCCGGTTCGAGTGGTCGCCTGTAAATGTTGATGAAGTTCAGAAAGGGAGGAAGCAAGATTTGCCGAATGTTCACGCCTTCTCTGAAAACGAATCTTGCTGAAAAATTTCACGTCGTAGTTGAACTTGATGGCGACAAGGAAATCGAACAAAAAGTCGTCGTCGTCTCCAGGCTAACGCGCACTTCGCCCGCTGGTGGAGCGGAGGAGGCTTAGAACCGAGCAAATTCTCCAAACAACCTTGACTAGAAACTTTATGATCCGAACTCGCCGAGGACAAATAGGACCGAGGCAGCCAAATAGCATGATGGACGTACAGAGAGTCGGCTGATTAATGATAGGTGAACACCTTAGTGCATGCGTTGGGAACAACATCTTTTCACATTTTTAACGTTGGATCTTTGTTTTCTATTCCAGTCGCCAGGGCCTTTTGCTTCTTTTTCCTGTCAGCTGAGGGGCCCTGAGAACGAAACTGTTATTATTTCCGGAAACTGGCCTTGGTCTTCACTGAAGTGAAGACCAAGTGCAGGCTCCGGATACTAGATTATAATGTCCCCCTTTTTATAAAACTAGGGAGGGAAACCTAGAAATGGGAATCAAAAGCGAAAAGGTAAAAATCTGAGGAAACTCACGAAAGTGGACGAAGTCAATTCTAAGAAAACAACGGACATCCCACCAGTGTCGTGTGGTATTCCCCAAACAGGTGACCGCAGTTTAGTAACAGGTACTTCCGGTTTAAGGAAAAACCGCTTGCAGGTTCACATGTCTCGCTTTATTGTTCTTTGTCCAGTCTCAAAACATCACAGCTGATTTTATCTTACACGTGAAAGTTCATGTTCAGCCAGATCATCACTGGACACTGACGTTTTCTTTTTAGCTTTGATGGAGAATTCAAGGAGAAAGAGCAACGAAACTCAGGAGGGAAAAGCTGCACTAAAATTAGACGACTTTGAGGTGGATTTTTTCGACGAAGACTCCGATAAGGAAGAGGAAAGTGATAATAATCAAAAGAGTAACAATGATTTTATATCAGATTCAGTTTCGGTGACTTCAAACTCTCTGCTAAGAGCTACAATTTGTGAGCTTGAACGCGCTTTACAAGACACAAGACGACTCCTATTTGAGCGAGACAAAGAGAACAGTGAGTTACGACATGACCTCGAGCGAGCGCGCAAAGATCTTCACAAGGAGACACAAGCGAGGAAGAAACTCGAAGCAGAAAACGAATCAAAGGCGGACAAGTCACGAAAGGAGGAAAACGAGAAATCAAAACTACGAGATGAGATTCAAGAACTGAAGGAAAAACTACTTCGAGAGTACGAAAATCCCACGGAAAATGGAGACTCAGACGAAATTATCCCTTGTTGCTCGTCGATGCATGAATTGGTTGAACTTCAGCGTAAGTTAAAGGAAACTGAAAAACAACTAGAAGAATTTAAACTTAACAACCAAAATGGGGGAGATGATAAAGCAATAGCCACAAGACCGAATATTGGAAACACCACCAGAACCCACAAACAAACGCAGAAGGAAATTCAAACACAACTTAAGATGAAATTTCTGCGAGATGCGTTCTTCTATTATATGATAGATTTTCATGCTGACGAGCAAATGAAAGCGATTTTAGCCATTCTGGACTATGAGGACAGACGCCATGAGATCATCATCGAGTCGCATCAAATGAAAAGACAAGGGAAAAAATTTACTGTGAGAGAGGTTTCTAGCCGGTCACTAACATTTGTTCACGAGGAAAAGCTCTAGCGTTTTAAAAATGAGTTTCCCTGCGCTACGAATTGCGAGTGGTTGCTGTGAAACTCTTTCGGTTTTTAGAATAAAATATTTTGTAAAAGCTTGCGCTTTCCTAGTCAAACTTACCGTGTTTATAACTTTCTTTTCATGATCATCCTGTGATACTTATAAACACTTTCAAGTGAATCGGGCGCCATTTTGAATTAGGACAAACAGGGCGCAAGATAGCCGAAAAAAAAGTGTATATTAGGGCCTTTCATCTGTGAATTTACAAACCATGAGAATAATTCTTCTTAAAATCAAAACATCCACTTGTGGTGGCTATTTTCGTAACTCAAACGATAACGAGAAATTGGATGATAGCTTAAGGAAGGTACCCTTTTCTCGTTTTGAGGAAAACAACATCCATTTTCCCCACATTTTCTAACCCCAGTGAAATGACGTTTACAAAGAACTTATAAATATATAAACACATCTTTTTTAATAAAACAAAGTTATCATATCATATTTGTCCAGATAGATTAAAAAATATGGATACACTCCGGCCACAAATACAACACTAAGAAGTCTTCTAAGATCATGTAAAAGTGCATTCTCTATATCAAACAGTGCGTTTCTTCAGGCGAAGCTTTTATCATGTTCTAGCACACTAAAACAATTTGCAACTATGTAACAAACCTTTTCACCACAACGAAAAGGGTTTGAAATTAGTTGCAAAAGGTTTCCAACTTTTGCATTGAACATTCGTTTTCAAAAGTAATCACAAGGGAAGCTACTAAAAAACACGTGAAAGAGTGTTTTTCTAGCAATACATTCAAAAATCTAGAATGGTTGTAAAAAGTTGAAAAAGAAAAAAATAGGAATGTACAAGGCCTTAAAAACATATTTCTGTGCTGTAAACGATGGTTATAATATTTGTCATAAACATAACAACTTTCTTTAATTTACCAGACATGTTTCGACGGTACATCCGTCATCTTCAGTGTTACATTTTTTGAAATCGCCGTTGAATTTAAATCGCGCGCGATGTTACAAAGTTCGTTACATTGCGTTGGCAAAATTGCGTACTGAAAAGTTTAAAATTAGTGACGCTCAGCTACTTACAGGGAGAGAGTCAGGTTCATGTGTTTCACCTGCTGGTTGAGGTCAGGTTTCTCCCACTTTGTGAGCATGCATAGATTCTTTTAGCTTCACTTGGTATTTAGTAGCTGCAGAGTCCAGTGTGCAGGATGTTCAGCAAGACTCTGAACTCTGCAGTTGTCTAAAAGCAATCGAAGACCTGTGGAAAGTAAGTGCTCACGCACTCGTGTGGAGATATGTCGGCTGGTTTCACCAACATAACAAGAATTATAACTTGCACACGAAAATTTATAAACCACACGGGTGCGAAGCCCCCAGGGACAGCATCTTTCAGATTATTAAAAAGATTCTTGATTTTGAAAGTAGTAAAGACAAGCCTTATATCAACAGGCTTAAATAATCGATTTGCAAGTTAGCGATTACTTCTCCGTGCCGTGACTGAGAAATGCCCAACTGAAGGGATTTTAAAAGAGAACTTAGGTGTTTCCTGGGGCTCCACTCCTGAGTGAGGTTGTGTTTTCTCTCCCTTGACTACTGTCTGTAACACTGAGGATAACGGATGTACCGTCGAAACATGTCTGGTAAATTAAAGAAAGTTGTTATGTTTATGCGGCTATCTATATTGTTGCAGCTATCTAGACCTTTTGAATATTTGTCATCCTTTGAAAGAAATCCTGAAGCGTGACCATTTAAATGAGCAGTACTTTCCTGTGTTTCTATTTATTATGCTTTTACGAAGTGTTTTAACTTTTGAGTCTGCGGATGAAATCCTTAAGTACAACCATTCAAATGAAAGCTACTTGGCAGTACTCTTCGGTGGTACCGTCAACAATACTGTACAAGGTGGTTCTCACTTATTTTATCTGTGGAAAAAACCCTAAATTCTAAGTGCGATGATTCCAATGAAGGCTATGCCGTATGAAGCTTCCTTCACAGCATTCAATGCAAATACAATGAATATTCAAGTATTTTTAACCAATATATTTTGTATTTTTTAATGCCCAGCGTTTATTTTAACAAATGTCTCGTGGGTGTTTGAACCTACAGTCTGTTCGCGCCCGTTGGTTCCAGACGATGGAGTTTGAAACAGCGCAAACAGACGACGAGTTCCAAAGTAACTTTTTCGCTACCCTCTCCTTCGTGGTAGCGTAACCTCCCTCGACAGTTTTTGACAGCTGTATGAAACTCTTTGCATTTAATACCCAGACTTATCACGGAGAATTTCTTAAGGCTTTATTACTACTGCAACAATTATTTGATAAAATACCATACTTCTCATACTTCCCTCGAAAAAAAAAACTCTTTCTCCCCGATTTTTTCGGGAGGGGAGAAGGCGGCTGTACACGGGCTTTACTTCTCAGAGAAGCAGTTTTGTTTTCCTCTTTCGACAGAATTTTACAAAACTGCTTTTGGTATTTTTTCTAATATTTTACATATATAATTTATGACTTTAACTATGAACTATCACTTTTTTCCTGAACTAGTCTGCAAAACTAAGAAGAAAAGACCGTTTTACATAGACCATATGCTGAAAGCTCCGCGAGGAAAGGTTCGCGCACTATTCTCAAACAGTTTATCAACTACATCCCTGATCTGTCCGTATAACTGGCCGGCCTACCTTCTAGGCTTCCTTTTCTATCTTTTAAGGCAAAGTCTTGGTTTGCAAATTCAGTTTGCAATGCAGTATGTGATATGGCATCTGAGATATACATCCTTGAAAATCGATAATTATACAGCGTCAAAACACTTCGCTTTATGTTTGTGTTAACTGCGCGCGTCTCTCTTTAGTCGCTCGGTTTTTTACACTCGAAAAAGTAGTGGAGACTTCTGGTAACTGACTTTTCTCAAGGTCACTGGGGTCACTAATGGCAACCACAGGCCTTCACCACCATATTCGTGTACTTTTTGAGAACAACGTTGTTGTCGTCGTCGAAGTAAAGAACTGAGATAGCCGTGAGTTTGGTCGGAGAACAGCAAGGCTGAGGTACGACACTCGGGGTCATTAGATGTACCAGCGTTTGTACAATGGCGTGATTTGTCGCGTTCATATGTGCGCTGAGAGGAAAGGAACACTCGCCATGACAGAAAAACGCAGAATACCCCTCCGGGGCTATGATCCAATCCTGCCAGCCTAATCGCTGGAAACTTACGTAGAGCATCCTTCGACTACAGCTTTTGTGGTTACCACTCTTGGAGCTACTTCCCACGTTGGCTAACTGAGGCCCAAGCGATCGAGCAGAGCGTCGACGCCTCGGAGAATGTGGGGAAAAAGGATGATTGGGGAAAAACCGCCGATATGTGTCACCACGGTAAAACGACACTAAAAATGGACGCTTTTCTTGCGGGCCGTGAAAACCGACAAAACCGATGTCAAATGGGTTCACTTCTACTCCAGCCATAGTACGCACCGAAAGTTCTATCCCAAAGTTCTTAGAGGGTTCTTTCGCCCATTCAAGTCCAGCAGTTGTGACGTCAAATGCTTGCCAGCCCTTTTCCCAGTGACGTACAACAAGGACGCCCAGCCGCTGTAGATCTTTTCCCGGCTGCCGAACCTTCATTGCAAAAAAGACAGTGTTATAATGGCCTTCTTTACCTGCTTCATAGCCTGAGAAAACAACTGACATTTCGCGACACCACCACTGTTTTCCCCACAAAATGACGCCTGAGAAACAAACGTAGAAATTCGATACTGATGACGCGTCACTACCCAGATCTGGGTAGTGCTTCTGATTGGGCGTGCCGCGTGGTAAATTTTCTTCAGTCAACCAATCAGAAGCACTATCCAGATCTGAGTAGTGCTGCTTCATCAGTATGGAATTTCTATGCTTGTTTCTCAGACGTCACTTAACCTTTTAAGTCCCAATGGTGACCAACATAAATTTTCTCCCAACAATATTGATACCTTGCCAAGAGATAAGACAATGAGAATTTATAAAATGATCACTAAAGAGACAATGCTTTGATCTTCTAACAAATTCTCTCGACTAATTCTTGAAGGAAATGTATGGAGATCAGTTTTGAGAATTTGTATCTGGATATTAAGGCTTAAAGAGTTAAAGGGGAAACCAGCCAGTGGTGGCGTCGCGAAATGTCGGTTCGGCTACCTGCTACACTAAATTAGAGTCTGATACTTAGGCATGTTCTCCCAACTGTTTCTATAGGAAAATCAAGAGAGGAAAAGCATGAGGGCAACAAATGAGAATTAATTAATTGATATTAGAGAGACCGTTCTGGGTTTTACGGGGCTTTGTCATGGTTGTCTGGTTCATTTTGTAAATAGAGAGCTAAAAGGTGATGTCACACGAGACGATTCGCAACGACGATTTAACTGAAGCGCAACACAGCGTTGCAACATTGTTACGACATTGTTTCGAATGGTTACAACATTGTTCCGGCATTGCAACGCTATGTTGCGTTAAAAATCATCGTTACGAATTGTTCCATGTAACATCACCTTAAGCAACAACGACGCCGGACGAAGACTACGAAAACGTCACTTAAAAAGTCAATTCGCGCTACTTCAAACTTTATCCCACTTATTCCAACTCGTTCAATTTGCCAAATGTTGGCAAATTTTTCTGGAGTTGAATTCTTGAAGACTGTATCAAAATTCAAAGTCTTTGTCTTGTGTTCATGTCCTCGACACAACGTGAAATTGTAGTCGTGCAGCGAAGGCAAGGAAAGGTACAAAAGAGCGATGCACGTGCAAAGTCGTTGTTTATATTTACAATCCGTTTCAATGTTCTTCAAGTTTGTCTATCCGTTTCTCCTTTTGTGAATTCGCTGTGTTATTTATAACGTCTTTTAAATGTTTTGAGGGGTTAGTTTTATGTTTCACTCCAGATTGGGTGCAGTTCTCACTGTTTAAATTTTGATAAATTTCGTTACACACCCGGGGGACGCTTCCGGCTACAATGGCCCATACAGGGAGGCTCCGCCCGAAAGGGGTATCTTTTCCAGGCTTGAGGTATATGAAAGGGTAGGGATTTCACTTGTTGAAGTATATGAAAGGGTAGGAAAATCTGTCATTTCCCTCTGTAAAAGGCCCAAAAGGACTAAGAGATGCATTTTATGACTGGAACATATTTTAACCCTTTAAGCCCCAAGATCCAAATACAAATTCTCCAGACCGATCTCCATACATTTCTTTTATGAATAGTTGAGAGAATTTGGTTTAAGATCAAAGCATTCTCCCTTTGGTAATCAATTTAGTAATTCTCATAACCTTACACTTGTTGATCAGCTGATGTTGTTAGGAGAAAATTAATGTTGGACACTTTTGGGAGCTAAAGGGTTTAAGACAGTGCATTTACAGCAGTTGAAAGGGATGCAAGCTTTTAACTAGGTAAGTGACAAGGTTACCATTTGTCAATAGAAGGTATAGGAAAGAGGTACCTTTTCGGTCAAAAATAGCATATTAAAGGGTAAGATGTTGGACCTTGGAGCGGAGCCGTCACGGCGTATAACGTTATTAATTAAGGTAAACTGAATCAAACCTGATGTAATTCGACGCGGTACGTGACGTTTAAAATTGGGATCCTTAGCTTGTTGAACTTCTGCTCCTTATAAATACGAAATTCTGCGGCAGTCATGTTCTCTCCTTGCGGTGTTTCTATCTTGAAACGAAAGGTAGCGTGTAGTCTGGAAAGCTTGGGCCGCGCACCGCGAACTACCAAAAAAAGACAAATATACATGTGAGTAATTTTGATACAAAAAATGGGTAAATGCTTCTAAAGACGAGATCATTTAGCTTAATCCTTTCACTGCCAAATTTAGGAAAAAGCAAATTTGACCAAATGTCCAAATTTCATTTTATGAAATTCTGAAAAACAGATGACACCAAGCGCAAGTACAGGCATAGAGCTTTCATTTGAATGGTCACATCATAGGATTTCGCCCGCAGACTCAAAAGTTAGAGTCACCTTACAAAACTCCATCTCCTCTCTGGCAGTGAAAAGGTTAAAGTAACTATGTCACGAGGTCAGTTCTAACTTAAGTCAATACTAAATACCTTTACCCATACACATATATATCGCAAAAGAAACACGCTACTCTCTAATCACTCTTCTTTCTCAAAAGTCTCCACTATCTGAACGCCTCAAACAGGTGCACGACTGAAGTTTGCATCCAATAAAAATTTCTGTTTCCGCTAATAAGTGACAACTGGACTAGTTTGTTGGGTTTCAAAGTGATCTCATCAGAAAATAAGAAATTAACTAACTCTTTCACCCTTAGACTGAGTTATGCTGAGATGACATGGATTTTCTAACTAACTGTTTACACATGTGGACGAAATCTACAGACGTATTTTTTGGGCGGGTGAATGTTCGTAATCGGTCTAAAAACCCTACGACACGTTATGAAGTTTACACAACGTAGCCCTCATCCCTTTTGCACTATATCTACAGTAAAAAAGAAACTAAAGCGATAAAACAATACTACGTTGTGAAAACGGGTTTTAGGCCAATAGGATCTTATATTAGTCAGTTCGTAATACCGTGGCAGTCATCTTTAATTTTATTCCTGGGGAAGATTGGGGAGAGTGGAAATTACAACCCTTGGGGTAGGCGTTTCCCTTTGATTCCTTTTTTTAATTAATTCAATATGGCCGTTTTAACATGGCGGTTATTAGACAGGTCGTTATTACTGACGGGAACCGAAAACACTCGCGCACACGGCAAAAACTTAAGCCTGTAATCTGCAGGCTGAACGAAATTCTGTGACTTAACAATCAAATGAAACCTTTGGCATTGTACCATTTATTTATTAGAATTTTACAAAAAAATATGGTTACATTTGTTTGGCCTTTTTTTTTATTTGGCCGCTACTCGACGCTATCAGGTTTGAGAGTCAATCACTGAATAAGCGTTTCCTCGAGTCCCCATTCACTACATTTCACAGCTTTCCTTGTTACACTGCGACAGCCTTGCAAATTTTGTTGTCCTCAGAACACTGGCGTCCATATCATGATAACTCAGACATTAACACGAAATCCGTGATGTCCAGATGAAAAAACTATCACCGTCTCAAAATCAAAGCACGCCATTAAAGGGCATAAAAGATACAAGCAGCATTTAAGATACTGATAGCAAGTATCTGATAACGGCGACATCGTTATCAAAAATTCTAGTACCTCCTCAAAATACTCCTTATCAAAATTCTTATCAAACTCAATAACGTACTTTATAAATCACGGACAAGTTTACAATTTGCCTTCCGTTTTAGTGTGGCATTAGTTTTGAAATATGACAGGATGAAAGTATTAGAAGCGATTATAAATCAGCAATTACGCAGAGAAAAGTGATTATTGTAAGAAGGCACGGCAAAAATAGATAACAGAAATCTTTTCCAAGACGTTTAGAAATGTTGAGTGAGAGTAATTTAATCATGTTAGTTAGATTTTTAAGGATGGCAATAGCCTGCGAAAACATCCGTTTCTCCTCGCTCTTCGTCGCTGGGGACGTTTCGGAGAAACGGATGTTTTCGCAGGCTAGGATGGCAACGAAGGTATTAAAAACTAACAGTACCAGAAGCAAAGTTTAACAGTGTTCATTTAAATGGCTTATGCACACTTCATAATTCCATCTAATAATAATAATAATAATAATAATAATAATAATCAACTTTATTTAACGAGGGTAACACGGGACAGTACTTCAACTGAATAACTAGTGGCCCTCTACTGATCGATACTCAATACCACGGGAAAAAAACTGCTCATAAGGTCTTAATTGAATGATAACGGCCCTTGGCCGGATTTTCTTCCACAGACTCAAAGCCGGTTAGAACTTTGTACGGAACAACTAAAACAGCACGGAAGTCCAAATTAACTTTTAATTATCCGCTGAATGTTCCGAAGCTAATGTTTTCCTTCCGCAAATCACAGCCAGTATTTATTTCATCTCGGCCAAAATGTGATTTTTATCTTCGTTTACACGGTTTCCCATACATTCTTTCTAAACAACGTCTCTTTTAGAGCGATTTGAAAAAATGTTATTAATTTATTCTTTCCTGTATAAATTGTCCCTTTTTTCAATATTTCTTTTTTCATTACCAACCAATTTAATACTGCAGTTGTGCTTAAACTGACGGTAAAAGAGTAGTCAGAGAAAATGCGATATTTTAGTAAACATTCTTATCAAAAAGAACTAGGGGATTTCGACTTAAAGATTTGACGAATTTCACTGAAATAATTTGCGATGAAACAATAACTATTCTTTGATAAAACAAATCATCGTCAAATCGGCTTTTCCAGCTGAACAGACCGGCTAAAAGTCAAAAGCCGCCTTTCGCATATTTCAAAAGTACCGTTATAATTTTAGCGTCTTAATTTTATCTAAAAATATCTTTGGGGTGTCCTGTCTGATCCCTTTTTTCGCCTTCAGGGGCATGTGATCGTCTCTCCTTACACTCTTGATACACCAATTCGCCAAAAAGTATAATTTCGATTTGCATGATCACACTAAAGAATGTCGTCAACAGACTGAAAAGTCACAGCAAACGTTTACGCGGTAACACAGAAGGATAGTAACGCTCAAACGTTCAAAAAGGTTTCGATAGAATGGTTACACTTTACAGACTTCAGTAGAATCGCATCCACAGACTTCTTAGAACCACCTTGCACAGCTTAATTGAGTACCACATAATTCTAGTATGGTGGGTCCATTTTTGAAGGATTTTATTCACAGACTCGAAATTTTAAACCACCATTACAACAAAATAAAAAGTTCTTCGGGAAAGCAATACTTATTAGTAGCTTGTCACATCAAAGGATTTGATCAACAAGCACAAAAGTTAGGCCCAGCCTTATACAGCTCAATAACCGCCACCAGAGGAAACGGACTACTTCAATCGTCAAACAATAGGATTTTGTCAACAGACTTGTTTTGTTAATGGTCCGTTCGATAGAGAAATCCTGATTTGGACTTTTAAATCTGGATTTTAGGATTTTCCTTAACAGCACAGAAGCACAAAACAGATTACATAACTATACGGATTTGTACGTCAAAATCCTTATGAGCGATTTTGATGCTCGAAATCCGTCCTTAGGAATCCGAGAAGGATTTCAGTAAAATCTAAATCCCGATTTGTTTATCGAAACCACACCAAGACAAGTTTCATTTGATCCAAGCTACCCAGAAATCTAAGAAGGTGAAAGTTGACCCATTCGGACTGGTGAAATGACTCAAGCATAGTGATAATCAACTTTTGATAACAGAAATGTGTACCAAAATAAGTTTTCAATAATTAAAGTGCTAGGAAGATACTTTTACAGTTTCTTATTAGGTATATTAAGAAATTATATACTCGAATTCCCCTAACTCGAACTAAATTTCCTTTCCCTTGAACAAAATTTCACTGAATTTACCCCGATAACTCGAAAGCCCAGCTAACTCGAACTATTTTCCGTTTCCCTTCAGAGTTCGAGTTACCGGCGTTCTAATTTAGTCTAAGTGTCCTCCATTAGATGCAAAGCTACGTGTATCGACACTTAATATTTCAAGTAAAAGCGACGAACGTAAAGCATAAACTATCAGACACTCGACGTTTCATCAAGAACATCATTTTTTTATATTCTATTGGGACCACCTCTGATTCGGACAAAAAAGATTAACTGCACTTTAATCCGCTTGCATCGATCCTTGTTAAAAAGATCCTTATCCCACCGACCTATTCTGTTTTGCCAAGAAGAATCTTTTTTATCCAATTAGTTTGCATATTTCAAGGTGCCATTGACCATAAAACACTGACATATGTCACAGAAATTCGTCATTTTGTCGGATCGATCGGTGTATTTTTAAGTGGTCGTGGAGTGTCGATAAGTGCCTTTCTAAGATTAGGCCTTGTTTCGCATACTCATCATTTTTCAGGCCATTTAAGTCTGTCTGCATCAATTCGCCCTTGTCTAGTCACGAAATTTTGCCTAAATACATCTCGAACTGATGACGGTTGTCAAATTGTAAATAAATAAAAAATCGAGCGGTAAATACAGTTTACCAGAAACTGCATAAACTGAAAATAGTGCTAAGGCATCGAAGTAGGAATTGCCGTGAGCGCTAAGGCGTCTCTGAATTGAGGGAGACTAAGGTGAAGTTGTAGAAATTCTTCACATTATTTAGCAGTATAAAACAGCGAGTTACCTGAAAGTACCGTTCAATACAGCAACTTTCAATTCAGTAATGCCACTGGAAAATGTCATTCATCAATAGACTCCAAAAAGATCCACTTTAGAATTCGATAAAGTTAAAAGCTACGTTTTAAAATGGCGAAATATTGATTGACTTTTCAGACTCCTCTTTGCGGTCAAAGATTTTCATCCCACAAAACAACTGATTATAATAATACGTGACCAGACTTTTAAAAAAAGATTGTATGTTTTCGGCTTATTTGTAAATGCACAGAACTTAAACATTACAGAAAGAAAATAACGTCGTTATTACAAGGCTTCTTTCTGGCGAGCAATGATGACTAATTTTGTCTGTGTCAATTGCCGCAATATCAGATAGGTAAAGATACCGTTGAGATTTTAAAAGTCGATCTGTGCCAAAAATTTTAGTTGAGTACAGGACATTTCGAATTATCCGGTGTGGTGACAAAATAAGAAATCGGAACTGCGAAAACATATTCAGTAGCTGAGTAGGCTCGTGAGCAATGCAAGGGGCCACATTTACAGACGTGATGTTTAGTACATGTAATGATTAATAACTTAGGATTCCAAAGGGAGGCTATTGGTGAAACTGATAAAAGCACTCTAATTTAAAAGATGCACGCCTTGTGCTAATTTTGGGTACATTTTACACGCCAACATCAATTTTCTTAGCAGAAAGCTACGTCAAGTCGTTATAAATAGCTTATTTTTTGGCTAGATGGAAAGATTTATTTAAGTTGCTTATTACATTTTTTCTATCGAGTAAACTGATTAAACTATTAACCCCGTCAAACTGCTTTCTTTAAAATCTTCCTTCATCTTTTCAAGTCTGTATTTAAAAAATGGGCTCCGTTCATCGCAGGCTTAGTTTTTAATGCTCTCTGATGTGCGATTCACATATCAAAAGAGAAGTGTGATATTACTTCACTTTTATAGAAGTTTTATTCGGCCAAGTGTATTACTTTTAAACATACAAAAAGCGCCCGACAAAAACTGCGATAATTCCTGAAGTATCTTCAAGAAGTGCTAATTAAATATCTCTTAACAATACAGACAAGGTTTCCGCTTTAGACAATAGGACCACAAATTTTCTAAGGAGGCGCAGAAAATCAAAAACATTTGTCATTTTTTACAGCACGGATAATAAGCAGTACAGAATGTGGCGATATTGTTAATGTTCCTTTTCTCCCTTTCTGCGGTAACAATGTTGCCGTGAACTGCGTCATGGCAATAAATTTTCTTGGCCTGTTACGGATTAACTTGTACATTTCAGTTCATAATTATCCACTCTCTACATACCGTGGTCGATTTCGAACCGAACACTTGTTGGTTTCTTTCGCGTACACTAGCGCGTAACATGTCATTGGTTGGTACCCATATGCAAACTTGTGGGTCTTCTACAAATACTTACTCTAAAAGCTCTATTCAAATAAAGCTATCATTTCTCATACGCGATTATGCAATTACAGTACTGTTATCTACCGATTGTAATCAATAAAACCCTCAGACGTTAGTTAAAAAACAGTACCAATTTTGACGTTAATATTTTCATGGAAGATAACCTTACCATGGTTAACGTAGCTCATGATGGTGTCCGCACCAACCGCCCGTGAATCCATGACCGAGCTGTTGCAGCAAATATTTCCGTTCGAATCACTGGCATTCATTTCCAAGCTGTTGTACAAGTCCATCATATAGAGCGGGGCAGACATTTTGCGGCCATGAAGACGGGTGTTAAGACTGAGGCGAGGACGATGCGGCAAGCCCATAAGAGCTAAGATTTCGCGCTGTAGAGTTAAAGAAGTTGTATCATTCTTTACAGATTGTGCGTCGCTAACATTCTCCTTTCTTAGTGAGTTGTTGACTCGAGGATTCGACCTGTTCCGACGCGAGGACTGAGTTAGGTCCTCGTGTTGTGCATTACTAACGGTACTCTCGGGTTTGATAACTTGATTAATGGTGGACGCCAATGTGGATTCACTATCCGTTGGAGACGCGAACAGAGCTAAGAAGCTCACGAATAGCAATCTCTGCGTGCACATCACCGTTTCGATGTCAGATTCGCAGAGTAACCACGGGTATTTATAAAAATATGCGACCTGACGATGTTATGTTTTGGAAGGTAACTTGATTCCAGCGATTGGGAGAATGTTATGCATGGTTGGCCGGTGCGCCTTCTACAACAATAGGCTGTCAGTCATCTACCGCCTAGTATGACGAATGCGTGATCTTCAAGCCAATCACATCGCGGCGCTTTTGTTGAAAAATTGAAAAAGAAACATCTCGCCTTTCAAATGCAGCTGGGTTAATGTCACAACTAATTATCCCTTGACTGACACCCAGCAATGGCTGCAGCTCACAAGCATTGTTATGGATTGACTGTTAAAGGTCTTGTTGATTGACGTGATTGATTAAATTTCACGACAGCCGGGCAAGGGTAATCAACAGACATACCTCAAAGGATGACCTGGAAGTGGAACTTTGAGGAGAGAAGAACGGGCTAATACCCTAAGAATTCGGCGATTTATATCACTGGCCTTTAAGATAAAGATTTAAGAAGCCAATTTGCTTATCCCAAAACTTGACAAATTCTTTGATCTTAAACAAGACCCCCTCAAAGGCAAGTGTTAAGCAAATCGGTCACTGTGATAAAAATAATTCTCTTTGTGAACCCCCAGTCAAGTTGAATACAAAACAATCAACAGCTTCTTCAGTAAATCGGGCTGGTGGGGTGTCCGGTAGCAGTCATTAGCTCTCTGGGAAAAAAAATTCTAAATTAATATTAATTTTGGAGTTTTTTCGATTCTTGCGTGTTTAATAAGGAAGCACGGAACCTGGCTACTTAATTACTAATCTCATATGCTTTTGATCAATTACGCTGCCGTTATCAAGTAAAAAAGATTGCAAAACACTGCAAATATTATAATGTTTGCAGCTGATAACACGTAGAGTTTTAATAGGAAACAAATTGCACTCCCGACCGCGAAATTTTTTTTCACCGGAAATTGCCAACGCGACCGGAAGTGCTTCTGATACTAGGCAAGCTGCTGGCCTCTCTACACCTGGTGGGAAGTAAGCCATAAGCTAGGACCGGGGCGACGAGGCCAATTTTTTTCCTCTCTTTATTTCTCAATTCTGTTTGTTTGTATACTACAGTTGAATCGCAATGGACCCTCTTATGAGCTGAAAGCTCCAATGCGTGAGCCTCATTATCACCCGGGGACAAAATAATTTATTTTCTTACAAACCGATCCATTCAACTAAACCATTTTGAAAACAAACCTCCTGGAGTTGTTCTGGGTCCCGGCCTGGCGGCCAAGAAGAGCTGGAAAGCGGCTGTTAGCCTACGTAGCAGGCGCTTGCAAGAAATGGGTGCCGAAAGAACGCGAGGGAGATCCCTCGCGCTCTCCGTTCTTTCTTGCGCCCTTTACTTCAAGCGTCTCACGCAGGCTAGGCGGCTGTACGTGCTCTTTTTGAAATTTGGCTTCTCTCGAAATTTAGGTGTTCCTTTCAAGTTTACAAGCATAAAGATGGAGCACAGCTGAGGCCTGTTAATGTTCCATGACCGAGTCCTGACATGGAGGCCTGAAGATTATGGTATAGTCAGGCTCTATACCAAGCCCTAGGACTCATTTAATGTTATCTCGTTACAGGCTCCGTTATTTACTTATTTATTTATTTATCTTTTAGGGCAGAGGGAGAAATTTTGAGGACGCTCGCGCACGAGGGGAGCCGCAATGAGAGCAGGTCAGCAGGCCTCCTCTCCCCCCCCCCCCTGCCCCTTTGCGTGTTCACCACTCGCCCTCTATTCTCAATCAAACTGTTAGTTAGTGTTCATTCACAGTTTGAACAGCAAATTGAAGAGTTGTTTGTTTGAAGGATAGGGTACCGCGCAGCCAAAACAAACAAGGGAAGAAAAATCGTGCACTTTTCATGTAAAATGCGAACTATGTAACTCAGTGTGAAACGGTAAGAAGTTGACGTTTAGAATGTGATTTACGTTAAAAACTTTCCCATTTTGTATTTTTAGGTCAAGTGTAGTTAACTCTATAAGCACTAAAGCCGGATACTGGCTTTTGACCAGACAAATCTGCACTCGTTGGAAGGCGGGCGCTACAAGACTTGCCACTGAGTTCAAGTAGAACTGAGAAACACTTGCCAAACGGGCAACCATCAACACAAAAGCGTGAAGAACTTTGAGAAACTCTAGCGTTACATCAATAAAAGCCAATTTATTTCAGTTGGAGACTATATTTTTGCTGAAAAACGTCAGGATTTTCTTTATTGTAAAACCCTGGGCTTGAAGGAGACCGTTAATTACTTTGTTGCCTTAATGATAGGCGTGACTAATAAACGACTCCAAGAACTTATGCTAAGACTTTGAGGAATTCAGCTGCCGACTTAACTGAGGCCACATCATAACAACAGCTTGCACAAATCAGGAAATGGGGAGAATTTCCATCACGTTCAAAAATCAGTAATTTGACCTTTTTTTATCTTTTCTTACTATAGTATTTTTGAAACGTACTTTAGTACTTTTAATTGTGAAGCTAGACAACCTAGCTGGGGTGCTACACTGATGCAACTGGGAGAACGTCATGGCAAAAGAATGATATCTCGTGCATTACACGTTGACTTTAATTTGTATAGTACTTTTCTTTTCTGTCATCACTGCACAAATTACAATAACAACACGTGCAACGTTATACAGCGGAGTTCACGGTCAAGAATTTAAGGCCCAATTTTTGTTGTTGAGTTTTTACCGCGGGTTCCGGAATCTCCAACCAGAAAATTTTTGCTTGTCGAATCCGGAATCCTGGGCTCTGGAATCCGGAAACCCACTAATGATTCTGGAATCAGGAATCCATGTTCCACTGACAAAGAATCCCGAACCCAGTGCCTGGAATCTGGAATCCTTGACGTGGAATCTAAAATCCAAGACTGTTTTTCACTTTGAAACTTGGCAATTTTACTCAGATGTCGACGAATTTTTCCTCCATGTCAAAAGTTGAAAAATACCGTGAAAAGGTCTATTTAAGAGCGCAAGCTATCCAACCGCTGAAATATGGTAGTGGGACGCTTGTCTGAAGTAAAAAGTTAAGGTAAACATTTTTTAATCACTAACAAACCGGCCTCACAGATCGTCACGTTATAAAGTTTTAAAAATCGAATCGAGGACTTCTTTCGGGGTAGAGTAAAAATATTAGACCCATTTTCTTCAGAGGTAGACCCATATTCTCCATATTCTGAGACCCATATTTTATGAAAGTCTTCAGGGGAGTGTGTTAGTTGATTTTGAACAACAGTCGTGTTACTTATGTCCATACTATCAGTGGCACCCAATGTCAATTTTCGGAAAATATCTGTTCGGAAGACGATTTGAGATCTAGAATTTTCCCAACATTTGTTGTAAAATTTCTTTCTTGCCTGCCTCTCCTAGGATTTTTGAACATCTAAAAAATGGTATAATTGCCCGTTTTTAACGGATTTTACCCTAAAAAGGTCACCTAGAATTTTCGGGAGCCTTTTTTCTGGCTGAAATTTTCGAAAAGGTAAGTTTTGATCCCTACAATTTTCGGATCACTAGACTTTCAGCTAGGAAATCCGAACAGATGAAAACTTTTTAGGGGATAAAAATATGCCCATATCTACCGTTTAAATACTAAAATACGTCTAACAATGATTTGTTTAAGTGGTTTTGAACTATAGTCTCGTTGGGTGCTCCTGACGTATAAGGAAGCAAGGGATTTTTCTCGTGGGGAGACTGGTGGTAGGAAATGCGAAGAAGACTGGCACTAATAAAAATGTCGCTGACCAATTCCAAGCCGCTTAAACAATATGGCGTTCAAATGGGGAATGCACGTTCCTGTCAACATTTCAGCTGCTGTTCGAGATGATAAGAAGTCTGGCAGGCCATCCAATGTACAACAGCTAAACGAAATATCATTAGCTCTACAAGGACAACAAACTGTACAAGACATTGTAAACAGGGCTACGAATTTATTCCGCCTAATGGAAGAGGCGAAAATGGTAGTTGATCATAACAAAAACAAGAGAATTCAAGAAACGCTGAGTGCGATAAAGGAGCTATTTGCTCGACTCAGGGTTATCTATGATGAAAGTAACAGACGCGTGGTTACTCCTCAAGGAGAAAATTTGGAGGTAAGAATTTTAGCTACACGCACCCCACCCCGACTACTATAGATGAGTGTCCACGGCAGATAACTTGTAGCAATCTGCCTTCAAAAAGGGGGAGGGGGTGGGGGGCAAGATTGGCTCTCGTCACGAGTTCACGACACAATTTTCCTTTTCACGAGTCACGAAAAATCTATGTTTTTATGCTACCTAAAACTAGAGGTCGTACAAAATGTCAAAAACGTTATGTTAGTCCCATTTTGTAAAACAGAGTGCTTCGATTAAGTTAATTAGAGTTTTACGAACCTTATGAAAAAAAACGTCACTCGCACAGCTCGCCCACTATGCGTCGATAGTCCCGTCATAAATGTAAGAGTGTCATTGTTATCATCTTCCATAGGATGTTCATGTTCACTATCTGTATCGTTGATCTTGGCCACGTGTTTGGTTGATCTCTGGGGGGCAATAAATTCCCTAGGGAGGCCAGCTGTAGGTGGTTCTGAGAGCACTGAAAGGGGTAAAGAATGTTTCCTAAAAAAATTTGGGTCTCAGAAAATTTTGGCCTGGTCTCAAAATCTTGGAAGCGTTTGTAATAGGTCGTAAAGTCTCGTTTTCTGTGATTTTGTGTCTTGGGGTCTCTAATCTTTTTAAGCCTTGGTCTAAAATTTTGAAACCTGGGTCTCATGGTCTCAAAAAGTCTCAAATTTACCATTCTATACCCCTACTGAAGTGTGAAGACTCAAAAGTGAAGTTAAATCAAGCCACCAGATGTTAGCTAAGGTCATTTGGCCATTTAATGATATATTTTGATCTTCACTGTATGTGTACACAATCAAGAATTCTGGCAGTTCATGTTTCACAGAGTGCACTTTGATCAATATTCACAGAACATTTTTTCAGTACGTCACGACTCATGGCATCGTGAAAATAAGCTTGCCCCCACCCCTTTCAAGGGATTTATTAAAAAATTAGGATGGTGTGATGTTTTTTCAGAGGGTTGCAAAAAAAATTGAGGTGGTAGGAATCTACTCATCCATAGTGTTGGGGTTCAGAATAAAAATGAAACATCCCATTACCCGACCCATACTTTTCTGAATTACCAAAAGTCTCAAGCCAAAAAGCCCAGTGTCACTTCGCACATTCTCCATACTGTTTTCTATACATTTCATTAGGTACCAACGAGGAAACATTGTTTAAACATTGACACGGTATCTCTTGCTGAAAAACCGTTTGCTATATCCTCGTGATCTTGAAAGGCATCACCAAAACCCAGATTGAATCAACCCCTGTAAGTCATTAAATGACAAAATGTTATCAGGGTACAGGGGTTGACCTGATCTAAGTTTTATTGATGCCCTCCCTGCAGTGGCCATCTTCCATGTTGAGGTCACCTACCAGAGTGATAGAGAAAAAACTTGTCAGTTACCTACTGAAAATAATGCCTCTTTTAAGCACAGTTCCTGTATTAGTCATATTAAGGTTACATTTGAGACATGGTTGGTGTTGTGTCAGATTACAGTTTAGAATGACTGTTTGGGAGGTACACTTTGACCCAGTTTCCTGTGGAACATTTTAGTAATTGGTAAAATAAGTGACAGCTTCCCCAAAACAGTACAATTCAACTCAATTCAATTCAACAATCCCTTGGTGCGGCTCAACCCAGTCCCCAGGGGCCCCATTCACATATTTTAATGACGGGGGGGGGTCCAAAGGATTTTTTTGGGGTTGACATTTTGGCCAAAAGGGATTTTTTTGGGTCTATGAAAGACGCCGGGATTTTTTTGTGTCGCGAAAACAACACAGGGATTTTTTTGGGTATTGTATTTTTCATCAGCTCAAATCAACAATAACATAAGCGCAATTTACTGCTTGTGTGGTATTACGGGAACAGAATATGTCAAGCCAGTCAATCTCCAGCGTGACAGTGTAAAGAACATACAACTTTTGGTCAAGCCCTACAAACTGCTCCATGATCATGTGTTTGCAAGATCCAGTGTAACAGAGGAAGTCAGCATCTCTGATGTCATCAGTCCAGTTTCTCTGACTAGGAGGGGGGAAGAATTTCAGCTTTCACTAGCAGATGCTACTTACCTAGAAGCATATTTCCCATTGGACAATAAATTATTATGGTGACACTTCGGAATACATGGCTAATGATGGTCGAAGAGTCCAACTTTCCCGGACTCGAACAGGGCGACTTAGGCGAGCGGTTGTGTACACCGCACATTAGTCACAATTAATAGATCCGGTTTTTATTTTCCAATGCTGTTTGTAAGGATACAGTTTGGCTTGAATCTCTAATGAACAGTGTATTAATTTTCAAGTCTTATATTTGATACAGTTGAGTTGCCCTGAGTTGCTATATTTCACCACACTCCTATGTAACATGCCTGGTGAAACACGATTTGGTGTGTATGGATGTGTTCTATACCTGGTGGGAATTGTCTGTCCACCTTTTGAGATATCAGTTGCACAAAAACATGGTGAAAAGTCTGATGCCACGTGGTCTGTTACATAGGGATGTTTCGGTACAATAGCAAGCAAAGAATGTGCTAAGGACAAGACATGCTGTAGATGTCATAATGAATATCTTCCTGTAAAGTTGTCACAGGAGATAGGATGAAGAGACACTATAACAGTCATGCGAGCTTTTTGTATTTGCTTTAGTATAGTTTTGTTTTTGACTAAAACCAAAGTTGAAGTTGGCATGTTTTAGCTTTCCTGAAGATAAATAATAAAATTTACTGATGCAAAAACACTGAGGGATTTTTTTGGGTATGCTTAAAAAAAGTAGGGATTTTTTTGGGTAGACAAATTCTGAAGTAGGTATTTTTTTGGGTATAAAATATGACCCTCTGTCGGACCCCCCCGTCATTAAAATATGTGAGTGGGGCCCCTGGGACCCAGTCTCTAGTTGTACAGCCTCAAAAATGGCCAATTATAAAAAGGAGCCACTTTGTCTATTTCCAAAGGGCAGCCACCTAGTACAGATTAATTTGACTATGAAAGAGGTGATCAAATGAATTAATGAATTTGCTTTGCAAAAAAATGCCTTTTTTTCATTAGGCTATGATTCCTCTGAAACCTGCAGAAGAAGAACCTGAAGATGATACTCCAAAAGATGCTACTGCCCTTCAAATTGAACATGATACACTACAAGAGGTAATCTTCTATTCCAGTATTTGTGATCAACATCCCTTGATCTCCTGGGACCAGGCTCCATAGTGGAGGAAAAAGGGGAAAAAAATGAGTTGAAACAGCTTAGTGGTGGACTGGGGAGGTGGAAAGATTCTTCCGCCTTTTCCCCTCCCCAGACTGCCATTTGGCTAGGTTTGCTCGCAGATCTTTTTTTACTCTTTTCCCCTAATGCAGAGCGTAGTCCTGGCAGGCTAACTGCTGGCTGACCTTGGGTGACAGTAGGCTAACAATGCCCAACTTTCTGATGCAAATTAATCTATAGGCCAGCTGTTGACTGAGAGACAACCAACAGTTGAATATTTGCTACTCCCATCAATGGCGTAGTATTTTTAGTTGTCGTTTTGCAGTGATGAAAGAAAATACCCCAAGAGAAGAGAATATAGTTCAAAACCACTTAAACATAGCATTGTTAAACGTATTTTAGTATTTAAATGGTAGATATAGGCATACTTCTATCCCCTGAAAATTTTTCATCTGTTTGGATTTCCTAGCTGAAAGTCTAGTGGTCTGAAAATTATAGGGATCAAAACTTACCTTTTCGAAAATTTCAGCCGGAAAAAAGGCTCCCGAAAATTCTAGGTGACCTTTTTGCAGGTAAAAATCAGTTAAAAATGGGCAATTATAACATTTTTTGGATGTTCGAAAATCCCTAGGAAAGGCAGGCAAGCAAGAAATTTTACAACAAATGTTGCGAAAATTCTAGATCTCAAATCGTCTTTCGAACAGATATTTTCCGAAAATTGACGTTGGGTGCCCCTGAAAATATAAGAATTTGCATGGGAGAAAAAACAACATTGTTTCTGTAGCCTACGAATGTAAAAGGATTCAAATAAAAATCAGCTAACCTTGCTTAAGTTGTGTGTTTCTTCTTTCCTGTGTGGTTTCTGAGCTGATTTATGGCCATTTAATCCTGTTAATGGGTGTTATTGGAACCGGTTCACTTTCTCCACAATCTATTATAGAGAGAGCAAACCGGTTCCAATAACACCCATTAAATGGCGATAAATCTGCTCGGAAACCACACAGGAAAGAGGAAACACACAACTTAAGCAAGGTTAGCTTATTTTTATTTAAATCCTTCTACATTCATAGGCCAAAGAAACAATATTGTTTTTTCTCCGATACAAATCCTTATATTTTGAACATTATGCAACTGTGCCGATGGGCATATTTCGAACTTGGGCCACCCACGGTTTAGCTGTTTCGAATCAAAGATGAACAAAGACAACTTTCTTGCCCATCTCACCCCTAGATAAGGATTCTCAAGTTTGTATAAGGCGAACACTAGCAAGGTCCCAGAGTGTCAGCTTAATGCAGGGTACTCTGTACTTTGAATTTAAATCTTCAGTTTAGAATGATGTAAACCACAACATGGGTGTTGAAACTAACTAACTGCAACCTCAAAGATAGATTCTAGCCACTGATGAATATAATTTTGGAAAAAAGGAAATAAAGGTAGAGGGCTTTTAATCAGTTGGATACCGCCAATGAATTATTGTGAACACTAATAGTTCTATTTTTTTGTCATTCATTTTTAACAGAAACTCCGAAGCAAAAATCAGGAAATAAAAGACTTGATCGACCAGCTGAGAACCTTAATGTGGGACATAAACACCATGATGGCTGTAAAACCAAGCTAGCATGCCTTTCAGCTATAGTTGAATCCCGGTTGAATACATCAAAAACTGTAGAGGAAGACACGTCAAAGACGCTCTCTCTCAAACCATTATAACTTGTAGCGAAAATAAGAGCAAGTAGTTCCTCTTCTCTTGAAGGTTTTCGAATGATGTGACAAAAAGCTTGTTTTTTTTCTTTGTTGGCCTGACTCTGAGAGAAGCAAAGGTAATCCGAACTGAGGAGCCGACAAAAAGGATCTTATAATTTCTTTTCTTTAAATGGAAGCCATGCTATGCTAGAAATTTTCGGCCCTTGTCATTTCATTTCCAGAATTGACCGACTCCTTCCTCGATGTTAGCACGGTGGGGGTCGAGTCAACTAAACTTAGGGAAAGTTCGAGAGGAGTCAACCAAATTCGGTGACGAGTCAACCAAAGTTCGGGACGACTCGACCAAAGATCGGGACGAGTCATCTAAAGTGTGGAACTAATTGCCCAAAGTTGAGGAAGAGTCATCCCAAGTCGGGACCTTTACTAGCAAACCGACGAATGGTATGGCAGAAGAAATGCTCAAAGAAGGTGAAAGTTGAACGTCATAGCCTGACTCTTTTCACGTAGATAACGTTAATGGGCAGTTCTGGAACAGGTTGAGAAATATATCATGAAAGAACAGTGTAGAATACCAAGATTTGCGCATTACTTTTTCTAAGCTATATTGCTGTATACAATAAAACGTGGCTCAATCTAAAGCCCCAGAATTCAGTTTAAGGTATCTTATTAGTCAGAAGCTCACCTGAACTGTGGAACACCGCTCAACGGGAAGTCCTGTATAACGGACAGTTTTGTTTGTCCAGTTTCCCGTTTGAGTCAACTCAAAGGTTTTTTACCATTTTCATGGGCAAACCGGTCGGTTCACAGTTCGGGCAAATGGAAAGCGAAATTCAGGACTGGTAAATTTCATTCGTGAATCGCGTTTGCCATTTGTACGAATCAGTTCCATTTACCGGAAAACGACTGCGAAGGCCTGAAACTGGTATCAAAGATGGCTTTGAAGAAATGGAACACGAATTTCCGTTTGGAACATTCCGACCAGAAAAACAGAACTACCTTTTTAGAAGTTCCGTTGCTCCCGGAAATTTTCCACTGAAACGACTCGATAAAATGTTTTTCACACTTTGCTTCAGCACACTGGGTTTTTCACCATCGGAGGTCTCAGAACGGCAATGCTAGACCAAAGTGACTGGCGAGTGTAAATCCATGTTGTCCGAACTGCCGCTCGACCAAACTAAGTAATTTACTTTCCAGCCGGATTTTCCAGAAACGTTTTGAACATGGTAAACAACCAAAGAGTCAAGTGCGGGAAAAAAAATTCAACCGGCAGAAGAACACGCAAACTGCATCAAAAACGCGGGGAAAATGCAACTGATGCAAGGCCCAGGCCGGGGAAAACGCAACCGGATGTCTTCCCTCAATGCATTGCGATTGTAAATTGTAAATATCTTATTATCCACTCCCCTCAGGGCTTTTCAGGGATAATTTACAACACTGGTTGGCGGACTTTGCCGGACTGCTTAAGGTGCAGTTTACAAGTAATGAAGGAATGAGTAATGATGCCCCTATACGTGAGTGTGAAAGTGAGATAGACCACTACACCGGGCACTACGTGCCCTACTCTTAATAAAGAAGTGTGTGGGTTCTTTAACGTCCCACAGATTTATTACATGTACAAGGGCTTGTGAGACGGGGCCTACGGTTTATCGTCCTTATCCGAGAAGACTAGAAAGTCTAACCGTTTGCAGATGTTATTTCAAAAGCAGCACTTTCTCCTCAGTTATTTAAAGATCCTGAGTGTTAGTCCGGCCGGGGTTTAAACCTACGGCCTCCCGCTCAGCAGACCGGCCCTTATCCCACTGAGCTAACCGGGCGGCGATTCATTCGGCTCAAACGCTGTGTCAAACTCGTAAGATGCTTAAGTCCCGTTTTTATCAACTCAAACTTGCGATAAAAGATCTTTAAATAAACACACCAGTTGAAAAGAAGAGGATTCATTATAAATAATGTTCTAATTTTCAAGCTGCTCACATTTTTTGCACCAGTCTTACTCAAAGATATTGCTTCGTTCATTATTATACACTTTGTTTTAAAAGTTTTTTCTGCATTGTCTGACAATGTATTTACATCAATAGAACATATTAGTGGAAAAACATTGATTAGTACGGTTAAGTTAATTGAACAAACTTAGGCTCTAAGGTTAAAATTCTAAGGTGTTATCTTTAATGACAATTAAGTACTTTCCGAGCCTATAAAGATAGAGGCGGTTCCAAATTTTAAGTCTGTGTACAAATATCTAAATAGGTTGTTTTAGTATTTTATGTCTCTTAGGCAATGAGAAAAGATTGTTTTTATCAACTTAGCCTGCGTAGCGAGCGTTTCCGCTGGAGTTTATTGCGCGAAGACTTGGAGCGAGACCCCCCCCCTAAAAAAATGGAGATAGGGGGAGGGGGAGGAAAAGTTTCCTTCTCTCCCCTTCCCCTTCTTTTATTTATTTATTTATTTTTATTTTAGCATTAACTCCAGCGAAATCGCTTGGTACGCAGGTTATTATCAACTGAGTTGACAAGGTAGATTGGCTACCACTAATATCACTAGCCCACGAATACAGCCGCCCTCCATGCTCCTCGCCGCAAGGTAGGCGTCTCTGTCAGCGAGGAGAGACAGCTGTGTTTGCAGGCTAGGCCGCCACAGGGAGGTAGAGAAGCTGTCATTTCGAGAGCAAGTCCTTCACTTCCTCCCCCCCCGCCTCCACCCCATCAACTCAACACCACACACCCCCCCGCCTCCACCCCATCAACTCAACACCACAGTTGCTTTAGTTAACAATGCTGTACAAAATGTTTCCGTGATTAAAATCCTTACGTGCAACCATCCCAGCGAAAACTGGGTCGTGACTTTCCTCATCAACTGTCTATATGTTAGTTGCCCCCCGTGAGGTAATCCAAGACAGTCTTGGACTCGGGGCTTCACGCTCTGCATTCCGGATTTCACTCGATAGCGGGACTCCGAGTTCCTTAAGTTGGATTACAGATTCCAAAGTCCAGGATTCTGGATTTCACAAGCAAGCATTTTCGGAATCTGGATCACCTTAAATGAGGCGAATGTTAAAGTTATCTCTTCACTCGTAGACCAATCTATGTTGAGATGATTTGTCATTGTCACGTTTTAACAACAACGGCTGTATCTATCGGACGAAATATTATGCTGTTACCGTTCAAATGAAAACTGTTTGGAGGGACTATTGTATAGGCATAGTACTATTTAAATGTTGGGACTTTACAATAAGAAAATTCGAATTTTCTTGAAATTGTTACTTTTGCCATCATAAGAAGTGAAAGAGTTAACGATGTTAGTCGAATTTCTATGTCCAGTTTAAGCTTAACGCGAACTACGTATTAAAAGGGTTAGAATTATCGACGTTCAAATTTAGTTAAGTTCACACACAAAGCATGCAGCCCGCTTTACTAAAAATTTTGTTGTCTTCTCTTCTTCGCTTCCATGGCGTCAAGAATAGGCTGTCTTTTTGCTTGATAGCGTGACCTAAGTCCTTCAATTTCCTTTTCCATTTCCATGTCTAATGTTTGCATTCGACTCTGTAGTTCCTCACAAGACAGTGACCGCAACTGCGAATCAAAGCATAATAACAGTCAAACTTGCCTGGCTTAATTGTTTGAATGCTTTTAAAAAATAATTCTGCGCTTTGAGAGTAACCTGCTATCCTTGACCCTTGTCGACCTTTTCACCCTTGTGTGCCACCCACAACATGTGCGCACGAAAACGAGGCACATTCCCTAGGAATAAAAAGAGCGAAAGGCACCAGCGCGCGGAAACTCCTCTCCCATGAGCAGACGCTTATGTCTACTCTCCCTCCTCCTTCGCGGGTTTGTGAAAATAGCGCACAATATACGACTGTGAATCACCTTGCTTCTAGAGCAATTTTCAATTGAGTGTTGAAAGTAATCCAGGATTGAATTGGTTTTGCTTTACTGTGCTGTTTGATAGGTCTAGAAAACTCGCGCCACCCTCTCAGCCAATCAGATGTAAACTAAAACCAATCGCTCCTTGGTCACTCGCGTTTTCCCGCGCTACAGGCCGGTTACACGCGTTTACTTCGAGTTGCCATTGGCTCCCTCTGATAATTTCCTTTACTCTGATTGGCCGTTGTGATTACTTTGGTTTTGGTTTTCGACACTCAATTGAAAAGCGCTCTAAACACCGACTCGGTTTAATCACTGGACGTTGCCCTACTCTCACGGACTATCGCGAAGTCCGAAAAGGCCTGGACGTGAAATCTGGCTCCCCCTTAATGAAATCCTACACCTGCCCACTTGATAAATTACTACACCGAGTTAGAATATCAGGGAGATTACGCAACTTCGACGGCAACAGCAATAAAGTAAATTCGCGTTCCTTTTAAACTTCATCGCGATTATGCTAGCTCGCTCAATTTGTGAATTGTACGAAAGCTATCCTGGAGATGAATTGTTAGGGACGGCATTCATGTTAAAGAGACAAAGGAAAATTCGTTAACGTGTGATCACGTCCCTTGCGCAGAGGTGGGTAAGAAATGTACCAAAAAGTGCGATGCACATACGTGCTTAGTCGTTGGAGGTTGCTAAGCTCCCTAATAATTAGAAGGGGTTCAATTGGGAATTAGCATTCAATACTTACAAACTCAAAGTCAGGGGGGCCCGCCTTCTTAATCTTAAAAGGATCCTCCAGCTTAGCCCCCCTGAGAAGTCCCCCGGCGTCATCTTCAGAGGAGCCATTGGCGCCAGGCTCGCTGCTTCGTCCTCCTGCTTCAAATATCCTGTCAAAATGATCCATAAAGGAAGGACGATAGTTCTGCTTTGTGTCGCTATCCAATCCTGTTAAAGAAAATTGATACAGACGGCTTGTTATTGTCTCCAAGTAAGAAATTCTCAAGTGTAACAGTTAAACCTTTACATTGTAAAGCGCTTAGAACAGCGATGTATAAGCGCTATATAAATTCCATTATTATTATTATTATTATTATTATTATTATTAACCTTCACTCGTTATCTCATGGTCACTTGCCTTATCAAACGTTTAAATCCGTGGAGGAAATATTATGGAGAGATCACTCAAATTAAACCTTTTTAGCAGCACTTTCACATGGAACTATTTATTAACTATGTAGTTCTAACTTTTAAGCCTGCGGAAGAAATGTTATGGTGTTCCCATTCAAATAAAACCTCTTGAGTGGAACTTGGTAAAATTCATTTTTTTTTAGGATTTTACCAAAAGAATGACCATCCGAATGGAAACTTATGAGTAGTGCTTTCCTGTGTTAGTGCTTGTTATGCTATACGAAGTGGTTTAACTTTTGAGTCTGTGAATGAAAACTTATAGTGTGACCATTCAAATGAAAGCAACAAAGCAGTACTTCCCGTGGCGCTGTTTATTATGCTGTACAAGGTGGTTCTAACTTTTAAGTATGAGGACGAATTCCTATGTTGTGACCAATCAAATGAAAGCTACTGAGCAGTACTTTCCTGTGGTACTGCTTATTATGCTGTACAAGGTGGTTCTAACTTTTAAGTATGTAGACGAATTCCCATGTTGTGACCATTCAAATGAAAGCTACTGAGCAGTACTTTCCTATAGTACTGTTCACTATTCTGTACTAGGTGGTTCTAACTTCTAAGCCTGTGCTCAAAATCCTAAACTGTGACCATTCAAATGACTCCTCTTCATGAGCATTCTCACTTGTATTTTTTACTTTGTTTTACAATAAATGACACAGTCGGGAGTTCAAGAATTAACAGAGCATTTATTTTTCACCAGCACTCGAGAGCTTACTTTTCATTGTAGCGTCTTCATCTTCATCAGAGTTAATCACCATAGTTCCGAGGTCGGACTCCAGAAGTGTACCGGCCTCGCTATTCACTATCATGGTATCTTGACTCTGTACAGTAGTGTTAACTATCATTGTATTGTCATCTCCATCTCCAACCTTTACCATAGTCCCTGAGTCGACTTGTTCCTCGCCTTCCTCGTCCTCTTCCTGGAATCGTAAGGCAGACGTCATTAAGTGTATGTTACTTTTACCCTTAAGCTTTTGCAGCCTGCCAGCCTAGGGCCAGACTCCTTGGCGGAGAGAGAGGGAAAGAAGCGAACAATGGACTAGGGGGAGGAGGAAGGCGCCCAATTTTTTCACTCGCCGTCTTTTCTTGATTTTAGCTCCGTACTCCTAAGAAGGCTTTACCGGACCTGCTTTACTGCCTGGAGAAAGCAACTCTCGTACTAGGCCTACATTTTTTTCAGTTCGTATGATTTGCGGCGGTCTTATTTGGCACTGAAAACGGTTTATTTGGTGGCCTACACCACGGTGTTCACCCCCCTTTTTAGGTCCGTATACTTTGCTGTCTGGTTCGTAGGACTCGATCAATATGGTAGTCTTATTTGGCGTCATAAACGGTTTGTTGGTCTGTGAAAACGCCGTGAAATGAACACATAAGATTTGCTCACTCTAACATGAACTTGGGCCAAGGGACATGAAGCAGACGACCCGTCAAATTGGCCATTGAGGTTGCACTTTAACAAGAGACTGGGCAGGTGTTGTGTCGAACTGCATGATGGGACTGGTTTGGGTGACGAATTTTGACCGCGTTTCCGTAGCAACCTTGTTATAGCCAATGAATGAAGAGATACTGTCGCCCAAACAGTCCCTGCACAGTGCAACCTGACACAACACAGTCCCAGTCCAACA